TAAAATAAAATCAGTGAATACATCAGATATAGAACATAGACAAATAATTTAATGTGTCTCTCTAAGTACAGCAAAGCTCAGAAGGCATGGAAGCCACTGTAGACAACATGGTCAGAAGTTTAACACTTCAGAGAGTCAAAAGACAGTGGGCTGGAGAGATGGCTCTGCAGAGAAAGTGCTCCCTGAGCAAGTGGGGGTTCAGTGTTCAGACCCCAGAAGCAGGCAAAAGCCAGGCAGGTGTGAGCACCCCCTGTAATCCCAGCGCACTGGAAGCAGAAGTGGGGACCCCTAGGCAAACCGGTTAACTAGATAAGCTGGCTCCAGCTTTAATGAGAGACTCTGCCTCCATAAACAAAAAGGATAGCGTGACTGAGGAAGACACTGATGTCAGCTGCAGGCCAACACACCCATGCGCATCCACATACATGCAAACATGCAGTCACACACACGAGCAGAGCCAAAAGGCAGACTCTGAGAAGGTCTGCATGATATTGAAGCATCCAAAAACTTACTGATGTTAGTAATTAATAGGAACAAGGTTACTAATAGCCCAAACCATTAATAAGAAAAAGACAGCCCAGGCAAAGGGTCTGGAGAGCAGCAACAGGTTGCTATAGAAATCAGGTTGACACAAATCCAGCTTAACGCTTATGCATCCAGGGGAAACTCTATTGGGAGAAATGGAAGCACTAACAGCCACTCTGTTCTTTATCTATGAGTGTTTGTATGATCAAGGAACCAATGCTTTATGTATTTTTCTGCAAATTTTGTAATATCTATTAAAATGACTATAAAATACTCATTGCATCTAGACTTGAGATTGTGAGCCGGGAAAATGCCTATGTTACATTGTTACATTATAAAATAAATACAGTATAATCTCATTATTTTTTAAAATGTTAGTGTGTGTGTGTCCAAAGTTGGCTCCCCACATTTCAACATTTTAAAACATCTAGAACTAGGAACAAAAATGAAAAGCATTGCCTACCCACAAGACCTCTGGGAAATGTTTCCCAGGGAATCTTAATTTTCCTCATGTTTTCTCTCTTTTCTTCAATGTTGGTAATTAACATGAGAATTATTTAGTTACTATCACAAGGTAAATGACCTAAGGTGTCTCATGTGTATCAGGGCGCCAGGTACTCCCTTACCCTTTTCTCACATGTGCTGAATGGGAGGAGCAAGAGGAAGAAGGTTAAGTCTGAAAGGGTAAATGTGGAGTCCCACAGTGGTGGCCCTGAGGGCCCCAGGGCAAGGGTCAGATGGCCAGTCCCCAGTCCCACAGATGGAAACTTTGGCCCGCTCCTGACAACTCAACCCGAATTTTTCACTCCATTTCCTATTATGAGCTAATTTCCTTGTGAATTCTTAGTCTTCTAAGAGAAGTTAACTGTTGCCCAAGTCAATGAGGTTATTAAAAATATCTCTGGAAAGATAAGCCACATGGTGGCTCGGATCCCAGGAAGAGCCCTGGAAGAAGATGGAAGGGACTTTCCGTTGCCCACGAGTGCTCTCAACAGGAGGCGGACACACAGAATTTTCAGGGTTTCCCTGCAGACAGCTGGGCGACTGAGTTCCTATGAAACCATCCCTGCCGTCCTCCTCAATGCCCCAGACTTCCAGGAATGCAGAAGCAGAGCCCCACGTGTTCAAAGCGCTTATCCTCAACAAACCACACTTTCTGCAAACATAATGAAGAATCCCTTCCTGGGGCCACAGGAGGGACTCAGTCCCCTCTTCTCAGGAGAATGGGCTCTGTCGGCTGAGGACAAAGGCAGCAAACAGCCAGCCCTTGCTAACCTTTCCTTTCCTAAAAGATACTTCTTTTCAACAAGTATCTGTTTCCAAGGTCCTGTTCACCCAGTCTGTCGGTCTCTGGGTGGGCCACACCTCTTGGAAATGTGCCATGGGTATAGGATTTTCTTTTTAAAACCCATCATTTAAACCATGCGTCTTCAAAAATTAGGACATTGAAGACAATGTTTCAGCATCACTGGCCTCAAGAGTTACTAATGACTACCGGCCAGAAATTTTTAACTGAAATCATGAAGACATATTTCAAAGAAAGAAAGAAAAAAAAGACAACTTTTGAAAGAGAAGAGATGAAATCAGCCATCGGAGAGGGAAAGAAGTTGGACACCTGTGCCGGCAAAGTAGTCTCCCCTCTTCAGGGAGAAAGAGTTCAGGACCAGGGAGCCGAGGACCAGGCTCAAAACAGAACAGGGGTTCTGCTGTAGACGGGTCAGATAAGACATCAGAGGGGAAGTCCAAGTGGCGGCAGAAGCAAGTGAACAGAGATGGGCATGCTCCACACTGAACAGAACACTGTATACTGCTTGTTTAAGTGTCTGGGGCTGGGGCAGTGGGGTCCAAGGTTAAAAGTGCTCATTGCCCCCATGGACACTTACATGCACAGCATACACACAGACACACCTGTACACACAAATGAAAATAAATGTTAAAAGTAGCTACTTCTGGGAATGAAGTTACTTTTCTCTGTGGCGGACACACGGGCCCTCTGAAGAGTCATTTCTCTCCTCAGAAGTGACATTTGGAACTTCAACTCTAAAGGCCCAGCTGACGAAGGCTCGCTTTAGTGCTTAGGGCCAAATTGGTTTTCTTTGGCGACTGTTTTTACTCACAAATGTTAGCCACAAAAAGACACCTGGTTGTTGGCTTTTCCCCCCCACTAAGTTTCAAAAACAGTCTCAATTTAGGTTTCATGTCACTGACAAGGGAGCCATGGAGCAGGGAGATTGGCTTCTAACTGTACATCCCTGACTCTCAGCTCCATTCAGAGTGTGTTCCAAGTCTTCCCCTTTGTTGGCACACTTCGGTGTTTGGAGATATATATATCTTCGGTGTTTGTCATATATATATATATATATATATATATATATGAGACAGAGGAGAATGGGAAAGCCTCGTTCCTGGAGGTTACACAAAAGATGCTTTTCTTTTTAAACAGATCCTGGCTGCAGGACCTGGGTTCAGGAAGGTTGGGTGGGAAAGGTGTGCCGGGCTAAAGTTCAGGTGGGCAGGTGTTTAACATCTCTTGAGATTGAAAGAGGAAGACAAGCGAAAATCTTAGCAGAATTCAGACTCTGCCAGGAAAGCCTATCAAACTGTTCTAGGTATGTGCTGTTGGCTTAGAATGTCATGGATGCTGTGAGCAGCACCTGACACGGCAGAGCTCCCAGCCCACTTCCAGAGGGAGCTGCATTCTTCGTCCCTTGTACACAAAATGCCAGAGTTTGCACCCTGACACCCACAGGTGATTTTTCCACCTCTTGCGCCACCTCCCTTTTATTCTCAGTTTACAGCAACCGTCTTGTCTCCCCACCCGTGCTGGACAGACAGACACCTGCCTATGGTATATTTCACATCTGCAAGCCTTCAAAAACGGTTTCCACAAACATTTAGTCTGTGTCCTTCAGCAATGTACACAGCTTCTGAGGACACAGAATATGTCAAAAACCATTTAAGCCCTGATCGAAATGTGCTGGGGAAAACAACGTCGAACAAAAATAAAACTGAAGGCTTTGCTTCACACCCAACATGAGCACAGACATTTTCCAGGCCAGTGAGCCCATAAATCCACAGGCATTTGGTCCTTAGTTTTAAGGACAGTGCATTTAGGGAGAAGACAGACAACTGGGTGCACTTCTACTCATGTGACATATTAAAAATAAACTCCTCACTGGGCAGTGGTGACGCACGCCTTTAATCCCAGCACAGGAGGCAGAGGCAGGCGGATCTCTGGGAGTTTGAGGCCAGCCTGGTCTACAAGAGCTAGTTCCGGGACAGGCACCAGAGCTACAGAGAAACCTTGTCTCAAATAAAATAAAATAAACTCCTCTACCTTCAGAGAGGATTTTGCAGATTGTATGACACTGGCCATTTTGATGTGACATTCACAACTTGTTATAGTTGTCAAAGCTGCGCCATTTTTTCAGGGATGCATATATATTTGTGTTCGTGCACATGTGTGCACACGTGTTGTGCATATGGGGACAACTTAGTGAGCCATCCTCAGGAACAATGCAGACCTCTTTTGAGACAGGGTCTCCCATTGGTCCAGAGCTCCGAAATTAGGGGAGGCCAGTGAACTTTGGGGGTCCTCCTGTCTCCTGCCCCTCCAGCGTTAGGATTACAGGCACCAAGTACTTTTTACCTGGGTGTTGAGGCTCCAACCCCGTCCTTAGATTGCAGGGAACCACCTCTCAGAACCCACCAATGTTGTTTTATAATTCAAAATTGGTCTTTGAAAGGTCTGGGAAATCTATGCCACCCTTGCAGAAAGTTATCCACTCAGGAGATCATCCCAGACTAAATAAACTCCCTTCTGATTCAGTTTTCCTTGCTGACCTGGAGAGCACCCTGCTGGGAAGGCAGGAGCCGCTCCTGGCTGCCATAGAAAACTTTAACATCCCACCACTATTTGTTTAAGAGAAGCAAGCAGGAGCCAAAGGCCACTTTGTCCTCAACTGAGCTGCTGTAGAAGTTTAAGCACATAGGAGGGGCCACTTGGCAGAGCCATCTGGCTTGACTGAACGCTTTTTCATAGAGCTGAGGAAACCAGGGTTGACCACACCATAACCCTCCCACCTAAGAAAAGGCCTGTTTGTTCCGGAATGTAAAATCCGGCCTTATTTAACTAACTGCAAGCAGTTAACGTGGGCCTGGCCAAGGTTGTAAGAACGCTCTGGTAGAGCCAATCAGGATCCTTAACCAACCAGGATCTTTCAGAAGACTGTCTCCAGAAAAAGCCTCACCAGGACTTTAACCTGAAAACATCTGATCTCTCTCCGGGTCCTTTACCTGGGGAAACGGTCAGGTTGCAGGGCCAGCCCTTTCCCCACCTTCGGAACTTTCCAGGGCTCCGGGGAACAAGAAGGAGTTGGAAAGCGGACCCACTGCGCACCCATCTCCCGACCATCGGGACAGCATCCCCCAATTGGAAGCCTGGGGGTATCCAAAGCCTCTTACCCTTCCAGCCAGCGTTCTCATTGCAGCCCGGGACCCCGCGGATGTGTGAGCCCTGGTCGCTACGCGTGGCCCTGTTCTCCCGCCACGCCCCCGCGTCCGTCCCCACCGGCTGCCGCAGCCTTCTTCCAGTGCTGGGCGACCCAGGGCGCTGCTCCGGCCGAGTCGCGAAGAGCTTTAACTAAGCAGCCGCGAGCCGGAGGCAGGAGGCGGAACCGGGGCCAGGTGTGGGCGCAGGGACACCGCAGCTGGGGCAGTCCCGGAAGGAGATGACGCTGGAACCCAGGAGGTCACAAGACGTGGCGCCCCGGGGGAGTACAGACCTGTGGTGGGGGTCCCAGACCGGGTCCAGGGCGCGGTTCCAAGTAGGCAGGTCCAGCGTCTCCTCGCCTCCGGGCATGGCGCGAGCGCCACCGAGGTGCAAGACTCCAGCGCTGCCTGGATCCCCTCGATCCCCCCACGGTTCCAACACCGGACTCCGCCTGCGGGTGTCTGCGGGAGGCAGGCGGAGCAGACACCCTTTATAAAGGGAAGTCGCCCAAGGAGCCTGCTGCGAGGCCTCCCGGAGTCCACCCCGCCCCCGGTCGCCCCGCCCGCCTTGCCCTCAGCCACCCCGCTGCCCTCATCCATTCCCTGACCTCTCCAAGATAGTGTCTGGCCCCTTTATACATTTGCTGCATTTCTTTTGAGCCCGCTATGTGGCCCGGACTCGCCTCGAACTCAGAGCCATCCTCCTGCCTCGGCCTCCTGAGTACTGGAATTACAAACACGTGCCACCCACCCCTGGCTTGTCTGTTTCTTTGGCCAGTTCTATTCTGCCGTGTTAAGTGCCCATACTGTTTTCTACGGGATGAATACATTGCAGTTCCTCCGCCTAGGAGTCAACAAGTTCTTGGGGACGGGTTTCTTCATTACAGAGTCTTTATTCTGATAATTCCCTGACAAGCCGTGGAATGACAGAGGTGTTGGACAAGCACGTGGACAAGCACGCGACCCCTGCAAAGTCCAGAGCAGCAGACCCCAGCGGTCCCCTGTCCTTCCCCCTTGCTGTCTGAAATCTGGATCTTAGAGACGATGGCTCACCTCCATTCATGAAGCAGACTACAGTGCTCCTCGACCTGAAGCTGGCAGGACAGAACAGGCCCAGAACTTCAACTGAAGCCAGGTGAGCAAAACGGCTCCCTGTCCAGGCTATGTGCATCAGTACGCGTTGCGTTCAGAAGGTCCCCAGGGTTAGCCAGGGCAAAGGGCAGTTTGCAGTGGATTATGTAGAAACAGTTGTACAGAAAGACGGGTGTCAAAGCGTTATTTATTGACCCTTCCTGCAGGGGTGGAGATTGTTTTGTTTTTTGTGTGTTTGTTTTTGTTTTTAATTTTGAGACGGTCTCGTGTAACTAACCCAGGCTAGCATCCAACTTGCTATGGAGCTAAAGATGACCTTGAACTTGATCCTCCTGCAGCTGCCTCACGGTTGCAGCTGGCGTTAAGGCTTATTCCAGCCTCATTCTGCCCAACCCCTGCCCCACCCCCACAGAATCTACCCTCTGTTAAAAGTCACTTCCCAACAACCATCAGGTAAAAGTACCACACACACCCCTTTTACTTCTTCCGGAATTCCTCTTAGCAGGAAAGCCCACTGGGTACAGCGAGCCTGGAGAGTCTGCCTGAGAAGTCACAGTGCCCACCATAGCCGTATGTTCAGGATTCTGTGTCCCACCTGCACTATAAATGACTAGATGGAGCCAGCAAGAGAGTCGAGGAAGTAAAGGTGCTTGTAGCCGTCCTGAGTCTGCCTCCAGGACCACGTGGTGGATGGACAGAGAAAGTCACCTGTCCTCCCGTCTCCTCAGTCTTGATGCCAGTGCGGTGTCTATCTTCCCACCACAAAATAAATGAAGATCTTCTTAAAGGGCGGTAGGGGGAGGGGAAAGATCAGAGAAGTTTGTTACTTCTCCAGAGTCACCCACAGAGCAACCAGCAGGTCCAATCTTTCTATTTAAGTTTTTGATTCCCCAAAACCTTTGCTCTTGCTCCATCCAACCACTGGCAGGCACATCATTAAGACAGTTGCTGGTGATCGAGTTTCTCCAAACAATCTAGAAACTGTTTCGCAGGTGGAGAAAAGATGCATTTTCCTAAATCGTTATAAAAGATACATTTATCTACACATGTCTTCCCTGTCATCTCTAGGAGACAGGACCTCACAGCTGACTTCCTGGCATCTGGTTCTTTCTGACCCCTTTTCCAAGATCTTCCCTGAGCAGTCGGTTCAGGAGTATCCAATGGAAAACGGACAGCCCTGAAATCATATGTGCAAAAGCCATGCTTATATCAACCAGACACAGGGAGAGATACGATAATCAAAATGAGGCCATCCATTTCAGAAGGAGTGAGGTGTGACATGGGAGGGGTCAGAGGAGAAACAAAAAAGACAGAAGTGATGCTATTAGGTGATCTGATCTGTTGAACCATCTCTCCTGTCCTGCAAACTCCCACAGAGCACTGCAAAGGAGGAGCTTCCCAGAGGAGGGTGCTGGGTCTCAGTCCTCACTGGAGCCTGACTCCAGGCTGCTTCACTGGGATCAAGCAGTGCTCTGCACCCTCAACAGGAAGACACTACCTGTGCAGTCAGCAAACCTGCTGCCCTTAAAGTAGCAAGGGCCCTAAAGCTACTTAACCTAGACGTAGGAAGGAGCAGTAGGTGGAGAAGAGGGGAAGAGGAGAAAGCCGGGAAACAGAATCAGATGATTGGAGAGTTTGGCCACCAGGTACACTGAGAGACATGAATTACTATTTCCAGGCAGCCAGGGGAGCCACTCTCAAGGTCTTTTATTTACAGTGAAGAACCTAACTTGTCTCTCACTAGATAGCCACGGGCATTGCTTTGCGCTGTGTGTCAGTCTTCCAATCTCAGGTTTCTGCTCTGCATACCATACTTCCAAGTTTGTATCATAACTCAGTTTTGTCGTGACCAGATATCTTTTGTTCAACCCTGCACTGCATGTTGGAAGACATTTCAGGTTTCCCAATCACAATCATGGGTTTCCCCAGTGGGTTTCCTTCTTAGAACAGTTTTATAAACTCACAGTTAGAAGGAAGTCTTTTAAAGTCCTCTAGGAAATGTCAGCCAGGGTAATGGTAGACCTAAAACAATTTTGTAAAACAGTAATCCAAAGCAATATCTACTGGAAAGTCAATATGCGGACGGAGCACAATAAAATAATAGGGAAATTGCCTTCTGTTTATGTGGTTTCATATCCTTCTGATTTTCGTTGATGGGCAAATAAGTAGGCTTCGAACTTTCTAGACATTAGTCTTTTGCTGGTTTTAAACATTGTAAATACATTCCTCTATCTTCAATTTCTGAACTAGGTCCTCCTTGGCGTAGGTCTCTCCGTTTGACATTGGAAAATCAACAAGATATCTATCTTTATGACCCGAGGGTTTCTGATGTCAGCATCTATCCTTATGATCTGAGCATTTCTGATGTTGGGAAGGAAGTCTGCTTGAGGGCCGCAGGTCTTCTGCTTTCTCGGTAGGAGCTCGATTTTATCTGCCATATCAAATTCTCTGTGCTTACTTCACCTGTGGTGGGAGGTAAGGACAGCTCAGCTATTCTGCAAGAAGCAACCAGCTCCGCAAAACAGCCTGTGCCCTGGGTTTGGTGATGTTTCTGGCAGGGGACAGGCACTGCTCTGAGCTCTGTGGATGGTGCTCCCTCTGAGGCAATTGATGTGTGATATAGATGCTGGTACAGACAAGAGAGAGGGAGACAAACAAGAGATGGGTTTGTTTCTCCAGGCATGGGAATAGTAAGCTTTTACACATAGATTTTGTTTATTAGAGCAGATATAGGTTGAAAGTGAGATTGAGCAGAAAGCACAGAGGATTCCCATAGGCCCTCTGCCTCCCCCACAACCCACATCCCACCTTGGGAGTACCAACAGTCTGGAGATCAGATCAGAAAACATGCTCTCACCGGGCAGCAGATCTGCTGGCGCCCTGACATTCCAGCTCCCCAAACTGTGGAAAACAACTGCTTGTTGTTTGGTTTAACCTACCGGAGCTACACTCCTGTGTCACAGCAGCTGGAACTGCCTGATAACCCTTTGTGTACCATCTACTAATCCCCCATCTCCTGTAACCCCTAGGCATGATGGATCTTTCTACTATCTCTGTTTTCCCTTTTCTAAAACGCCATATGGTTGGAATTCAACAGTGTGTAGCATTTTCAGGCTGACTTCATTCACTTCATGATATGGGCTTAAACTTCTTCCATGTCTTCCCGTTGCCTGCTAACTCACTGCTTCTTGGGACTGAATAACATTCTACTGAATGGATATACCACAGGGTATTGATCCATTCTACTGAATGGGTATACCTCAGGGTATTGATCCGTTCTACTGGACGGATATACCACAGGGTATTGATCCATTCTACTGAATGGGTATACCTCAGGGTATTGATCCATTCTACTGGACGGATATACCACAGGGTATTGATCCATTCTACTGGATAGATATACCACAGGGTATTGATCCGTTCTACTGGACAGATATACCACAGGGTACTGATCCGTTCTACTGGACAGATATACAACAGGGTATTGATCCATTCATCTCTTCAAAATGTCTAGGTTGCTTGCACGTGTTGTAAATTTTGAAGAGAGCTGCTATAACCATCTGTGTGAACACTGTTTTCCATTGTTGCTTAAAGCGAACATGCTTCCAAATCCTTTAGCTAAACACCAAGAAGCACTAGTATTAGCTGCTAGATTGCATGCCATGAAAATACAGTTTTGTAAGAAACTGCCCACATTCCAAATGGACTTTAACATTTTGAATTCTCCTCAATAACAAACAAGATTGTCACTTCCCACCATCCTCACCAATGTTTGGGATGTGACATGTTTTGAATTTTGGCGTATTGTAAAGGCGAGCAGTAGATGATTTCATCTGCAGTTCCCTGGTGGCACGTGACGGTGACTTTCTGTGTGGCAATTGTTTGCCACCTGTATGTCGTCTTTAGTAAGGCTTTGTTCAAGTTATTATATCCACTTTAAATGGGGAGACTGCTTTCTTATTGTTGAATTCTGAGGTCTTTGTGTGTTATATTGGTGTATATCATTAGCTCTGGCTCTTTGCAAACATTTTCTCCTACTCATCTCTTTCCCCTATTGGTACCTTTTACAGAGCATATACTCTG